CCCCTCTCCTTGGAAGCCTCCAACCCCTCTTTCCTCTCCCTCTTCAGCCGTCCCTCCCCCCCCCCCCCCCGCTTGCCCCTTCTCCCGTCGCTCTCCCTCTCTTCTCCTCCTTTCTCTGCCCTCTCTCCCTCTTTTTCTGCTTCCCTCTCCCCTTCCCATCTCTCCTCTCCCCCTCTCTCCAGCTCAACGAGAAAGCAACAACAGTTGTCAGAGACAGCAAGCTGCCGCAAGCTCCAACGAGCGACCAACGCACCTCCGGCGAAGCCAGCAGCCGCTGGCAGCCATCGCGCCTCCCCTCTCCGCTATCCTCCTCCTCCTCTATTCTCCAATCGTCTCTGGCAGCAGCTGGAAACAAGAATAATCATCGAACAACAAGAACTCCGATTTAAAAAGTTTCATTCTATTGGAAGACGGATTTTTTTCAGCTCCATCTGGGTATGTTCACTTGATTTGATTTTTTTTATCCTTTATTTATTATGTTGATTTTTTGAAATATGTGATTATCTCTTGTTTGCTGTTTGTGCTACTACTTTTGGTGATTTTAAATTCCAATTCTATTAGTGCGACTGTAAAATATTATCATGTTCATGCTCTAACTTGATTTGTGGGCGATTTAGTATTCCTAGTTGTTTAACTAATGATCTGGGTCTGATTCTCCTGTTAAAACAGATTTTAATAGGTTAATATGTATTGCTTGTTCATTGATTGAGTTCGATAAGATTCGGACATGATTTGAGTTATTCACCTAATCTTGTCATTCTGATTATCTTCTTCTCTAAATGATAATTTTGGTGTGCTAATTTTATATGGTATTGATTAATTTGACAATAAAGTGAATTCGGATAGACTTTATGGCTTGATAAGGTAAATCTTGTCTATTATTTTATTACTATTTGTCAATAGATTATAATTGCCTTAATTAACGCTAAATTAATTCTTACTTGTTGGATTTTAGTAAAAAATATTTGATTGAGCTAAGAATAATTTTGTTGATTTAGTTTCTCGTTATAAGAGAAATATTATATTAATTGAAATCAAGTGCTACTTTGCTACTTTGCTTTTGTTTGAGTAAATGTTGAATCAACTTGTTCTCGTTGCTACTATTTTCTACTTAATCGTTAGTATTCTTGATTAGCATTTTACTATTGGTCAGCCTTCTATTTTTTTATTTTTGTTTTGCATTTATTATTGTTGTTGTGTGTTGGGAATAAAGGAAACACTCCTTATCTTTTTTCCTATGTGTGTTGATATGTCTATGCCTATGTTTAGTCCTTTTTATTTCTTATGTGCATTGTTTATATATGATGTACGAGAAGTTTGTTTCTATGAATATTTTACATTACAATCATTCTTCCATTGTATATGTGTTACCTCACTTATTCTAGTAGGTTTTGGACTTAAAGTTCAAGATGATGAAGAGTGGCCTAGAAGAATTTTCGGACAAAGCTTTGTTTATTTTAAATTTGTGTATATTTTCATCTGTTATTTTTATTGCAATATATGTATAACTCTAAAGAAGCTCTTATATATGAAGCAATTTGGGGATCACCTAGGGAGGGGGAATTATGTGTTTATCATTTTTATTTGCAAACTTGTTTTGTGTCTAAAAGTATGCTTAAATGCATAATCTGGGTGGTAAATGTTTATGTGATAAAATAAATTTAGATTTAACCAAATGAAATAAAAAAAAAAAAACCAAATCATTCGCTCAATCATTTAGCTAATTTTGACCAATTTATGTTTGAAGTTAATTTTATTCAATTTGGCGTGTTAAACTCACCAAAATCTTAAGTAAATAATTTGTGTGCATTTTAGTTACTCATTGAATAAATCATGTCTATAGAATTTATTGCATTCATATGTTATTGGTAGTTAGAAATCATGCCTATAGGTCTTATTTAAATGTGTTGATTATTAAATCACTTAGAAATCATGTTTAACTAATTTTAGCATGTTCATAATTGATTTGTTTCTTTACTTTGTCATTTTAGTATGTTAAACACCTAGAGATCATGTCAATAGATTTGTAAATTTTCATTATATCAATAACTCCAATAAAATTTGTTGTGCATATTTTTCCCCCTTTTAAATTAACTAATATTATTAATTAGTAATCTTATTTGTCCTCTTGAAGTTTTCCGCATTTATGATGCAATATGTTGTCTTAAAATAATAATAATAATAAAATAAAATCATTTGATGGATTTAACAAATTACTTGGCTTTTGAATATATTTCATAGTAAAATCTTTGCATTTAATAAATTTACTACATTAATGTTTTACTAGTTTTTTTTTTACAAAGTTTTGCAACATTTTTTTTTAAAAGTCATTGTTCAATCCTCCTTTAAAACTTTGGATTGATTATGACATTGTTTACTTTTTAAAATATTATAAGCACTATCTCTTAGCCTATCGTTACTGGGAAAGTCAAAGGAACTACGAGGTCTAGTTCCACTTTTTAAATTAAACCGACGCGTCCTCGGAAGTACCACCTACCCATGAATTTCAAAAGGAATTATGTGTATTTATATGTAAATATTTATGTGCCTATATGCAAACTGAATCTGTTAAATCATTTTCAAAAACATAAACTTTTATTATTTTTTCTAAGACCGACCTCAAAAAAAAATTGTTTCTATGGTGGAGGAGCGCGATTAACAATATCGTGGCATCATCCCTATAAAGAAACAAACATTTATTTTAAATAAAATTTTCTATACAAACTTGCTCAATTTTTCAAAACATTACTTTTGCACATATTATTCTTGTTTGGTGTAGCATAATCAAATCGAACTATCTTCTATATCTTTTGCGCATATTATGTCTTTTGTTTATCTCTCTATTAATTGCTTAATATTTGCAATATTTGTTTATCACATAGATCGTATGCTCAAATAATAAATAATTGAAGTAGTCTAAATTGTTTAGTAATTTATTTGGGGAAGATTAAAATAAAAATAATAAAACTTATTGCTTATTTATTTGCCTTTTTTTCTATCCCTTTGGTTATTTTTAAATTTTTATTTAATGTTCATTTATTATTATAACTTAGTTTTGCATGAATAATTAATTTATTTCTCAATTGTTTAATATTTTATCACTTAGACTCGCATGTTTAAATATTAATTAAGATAATAATGAGCTATTTGATTCAACTTGTTGATATATCACCTAGTCTTACATGTTAGATTTAATAAAAATGATTTTAATTGTTAATATTTGTTACCACCTAGCCTTTATTAATTAAGTAGTTAAAAATAAAATGGTCTTATTTATTTCATATTTATTATCATCTAGCAAGCATGCTACTCAAAAAATTAATAAATGAAGTGACCTTAGTTGCTACTTGTAACCCCCACATAGATTGCATGAGATATGGCCGGGACCCACATTTGTTGACCTCGAGGGATGCCTAACACCTTCCCCTCGAGGTAATTTGAACCCTTACCCCGATCTCTGACTCGTTGACCTTAGCTAGACTTTGTTAGGTTAGATAGGTGCCCTAACGCGCCTTAATTTGTTAGGTGGCGACTCCTTAAACTCAAAATCCCAAAAGAGTTGTTAGGTCGTGCACAAAAACCATTTTTGCGAAAAATGGGGCGCGATAGAGATAGGTTCCCTGACGCGCCTTAATTCGTTAGGTGGCGACTCCTTAAACTCAAAATCCCAAAGGAGTTGTTAGGTCATGCACAAAACCCGTTTTTGCGAAAAATGGGGCGCGACATAAGGTAGTGGAGGTTAGTGGTGAGTTAGATGATAAACGGGGAAAGAAGTTGAGGTACCCCAAAAGGTGACCCCCATTCCTAGACCATCACCTCCATTCCCACAGAGGTTAGTGGAAAAGACCGAGGATGGTAAATATCGGTGTTTTATCACTATGCTCAAACAACTTTCCATCAATGTCCCTTTGATAGAAGCTCTTGAACAAATGCCCTGTTATTCCATGTTCATAAAAGATATGGTCACTAAGAAAAGATCGATCAGTTTTGAGGATTATGATAAAATGCAGCATTGTAATGCTATTTCTACAAGGTCTCTAGTGCAAAAGAAAGAAGATCCGGGTGCCTTCATTATTCCATGTACAATCGGGTTATTACACTTTGCAAAAGCATTATGTGATCTTGGGGTAAGCATAAATCTCATTCCTCTCTATTTACAAGAAGTTGGGTTCGGGTGACCCAAAGCCCAATGCGATGCGGCTACTGATGGCTGATCAAACGGTGAAGAGGCCTATTTGAATGCTCCACGATGTGTTAGTTAAGGTGGAGTCATTCATATTTCTAGCCAATTTTGTGATTCTGGATTGTGAGGTTGATTTTGAGGTGCCTATTATTCTTGAGAGGCCATTCCTTGCTACGGGTACAGCCTTAATTGATATGGAGAAAGGGCAAATGAAATTTCGATTGAATAATGAAGAAGTGACTTTCAACATTTGTAGGTCCATGAGGCAGAGTGGTGAGAACCAATTGGTATCTGCCATATCTTACAGGGTTGAAAAGTCACTTGAGCTACAAATAGAAGAGCGTCTGGGTGTAAAAGCACTAGTGGCAGTGATCATGAATTTTGATAGTGATTGTATTGAAGAGTATGGGTCATTGGTCGCGACACTTGATCAAGGTGATGTTCAATTTAAATCAAAGAAGTTGGAGTTAGATATGAAGCATCACGAGTCTCCACCTACAAAATCATCTATAGATGAGGCTCCAAAAGTAGAAATTAAGGCTCTACCACCTCATATGAGGTATGTATTCTTGGGAAAAGGTGACACTTTGCCATTAATTATTGCATCAGATTTGAATGTGCATCAAGTTGAGAGTTTGGTAGAGGTGTTGAAAAGGTCCAAAAGAGCTATTGGGTGGACTATTGCGGACATTATTGGGATTTCTCCCGAGATTCGTTCACATAAAATCTAACTCATGTTCTATCATAAGCCAACTATTGAGCACCAGAGACTTTTAAATCCACCTATGCAAAAGGTGGTGAAGAAGGAAATCATTAAGTGGTTGTATGCTGTAGTGATATATCCAATCGCTGATAGTAGTTGGGTATGCCCTGTTCAGCGTGTACCTAAGAGAAAGGGAATAACTGTGGTCCCCAATGAGAAAAATGAGCTTTTTCCGATGAGGCCGGTGACTGGATGGAGGGTACGTATAGATTACCGTAAATTAAATGCATGGACCGAAAATGACCATTTTCCTATGCCCTTCATGGATCAAATGTTGGATAGATTTGTAGGAAATGGGTGGTACTGTTTTCTTGATGGCTATTCAGGTTATAATCAGATTTCTTTTGCACTGGAAGATCAAGAGAAAACCACCTTTAATTTTTTCCTATAGGACCTTCACATTCAAGAGAATGTCGTTTGGGTTATGTAATGCACCAACCACATTTCAGAGATGTATGATGTCAATATTGTCCGATATGGTGGAGGATACTATTGAGGTATTTATGGATGATTTTTCAGTGGTTGGTGACTCCTTTGAGCGGTGTTTGAGTAATTTGTCTGAGGTACTTAAGAGGTGTGAAGATAGCTACCTTGTGCTAAATTGAGAAAAATGTCACTTCATGGTGAAAGAAGGTACTGTATTGGGTCATCGCATTCCAGACAAGGGTATATAGGTTGATCAAGCTAAAGTTGAAGTGATAGAGTGACTTCCTCCACCTATCTCTATAAAAGGTGTGAGAAGTTTTCTTGGGCATGCAGGCTTTTACCGGAGGTTCATCAAGGATTTTTCAAAGATTGCAAATCCTTTGTGCAAGTTGTTTAAGTTTCATTTTGATGAATCTTGTCTTAAGGCATTTGGTAAGTTGAAGGAAAAGTTGGTGTCTTCACCTATCATCATTTATCTGGATAGGAGCAAGCCTATTGAGGTAATGTTTGATGCTAGTGGGGTTGCTCTTGGTGCGGTATTGGGACAAAGAAGGGACAAAATCCTTCATCCTATTCACTATGCTAGTAAAGCCCTTAATGAATCCCAAAATAACTACACCGTGACTGAACAAGATCTCCTTGCAGTAGTCTTTGCTTTCAAGAAATTTTGCTCCTATTTGCTTGGCACGAGGGTTATAGTGCATACTGATCATTCTGCTTTGAGATATTTCATTGCAAAGAAGGATGCAAAACCGAGGTTGATTTGTTGGGTATTACTATTGCAAGAATTTGACTTTGAGGTGAAAGATAGAAAAAGGACCGAAAATTAAGTTGCTGATCACTTGTACCGATTAGAATATGAAGCAATGAGGGAGTTAGGTGAAAAGTCTTAAGTTTATTATACTTACCCTAATGAGCATGTACTGGCTGTCTCCCAAGACTTGATTCCATGGGTTTGCACATTTTGCAAATTATATGGCTAGTCATATCGTCCCACCGGACTTGTTCTTTCATCAAATGAAAAAGTTCATGCATTATGTGAAAAAGTTCTTTTGGGATGAGCCATACTTATATAGGAGTTGCGCTGATGGGCTTATTCGGTGTTGTGTGCCAGAAGTTGAGATGTTGAGTGTTTTGGAGGCATGCCATTCTTCTCCTGTAAGTGGGCATCATAGTGGTATCCGGACTGCTCACAAGATCTTGAAATGTGGCTTCTATTGGCCAACCATCCACCAAGATGCTCATGAGTTCGCCAAGGCATGTGATAGATGCCAAAGAGATGGTTGTATTTTGAGAAAGCAAGA